AAAGAGGAAAAAAAACAAACAAGTTAACAAATTAACTGAATATTTGTTTTCAGATCCCCCATTTTGCTTTGCTTTATTCTGTCTGTATGGCTCCTGGATTTACATTGTATACTGTTCAGGTATTTTTGTACAAGTAAGGGACTGATATATTCTGTGTTTATTGGAAATTAGAATAAAAGACAACATTGCTATAAACCAAACCCAGCTGTAGACTTTGTCTGTTTTTTTTTCTTCTTCACTAGTTTTAATTCCGGTAATAGAATACGTTAAAGTGCTAAAGTTGAATTAATGAATTGATTTAATTGATAACATTTGATCTTACATGACGAATATACCTTCGACCTAGTATAAAGTAACTGGTTGGTTAGCTCATGGAGAGGGAAGCAGGTTGGGGAACCTGTGAGTGCGTGGGTGCGTCTAATTATGGAAAAATAATAAAATAAGATTTGAATAGCTCCTCCCCTAGCCCCTCCCATTACCATATATGTAACCAGCAACTTAAGAAATAAACCTAAGTGTCTAAAAAACGTAAAAAGGACCTAAGTGTAAAAAGAAAAATAACTGATGTAGCAAAAATAAAAAATAGAACCTAAGTGGAAAGAACTTAGAGGCAGTCCCTTAAGTCTTAGAGGGAATTGTTTATTCAATGAAATCTTGCCCGGCCTGGGATTCAAACCCACGCTCCCAAGTTCTCCAACCTATTTCACTCCCCATGAGTCAACCAGCAATTTATTCTGAACGTGTATTTGTCACAAATCATATTAACCTTATTGTTGCACAAGGCTGAGATTTGAACCCACAACCTTTGACCCTTTTTCTGTATTTTTCTGAATCAGATACACAAAATGTGGATCTGTATATTAGAGCTACCCTAAGTAGAGTTAGTGGAATTATTGTAAAAGCTATATTTATATCAGAAATCTATTGATTAAATGGTTGCTGTGTATGAGTCTAGACTTTAAAACAGGGGTCACCAACTTTTGGAAGCTGAGTGCTACTAATAATACCGTCCTCATAAACAATGTAATAATAATCAGTTCTGGTACATCCATTAGCAGACGCTCGTCTTACCATGGTCATTGCAGCCATTTGAATATCACTGCAAGTGGACCTGAGTACAGTAACAGTACAATTGTTGACCCTCTTGTTGATTAGTCTTATTTTAAGAACATAGCCCGCGGGCAGGTCAGGTAGTCCATGGGGGCTACCAGCTGCCCCCGGGCATCACGTTGGTGACCCCTGCTTTAAGACAAACCTGTATTACCCAACTGTGTAAATTAAATTTAGATTCCTCATATTAATATTAGGGTGTGGGTTACTAACTAGAGATGGAAAATAGGAACATACCAGATTCAGCTGCTGCGTCCGACGGCTGTATGCGAGGCGTTTGTGTCCCCCGGGTGAGAGTTGGGATGTCACCTTTCAGAAATGAAGACAAAGCATTCTGCAAAGAAAAACCCAAAAAACAAACATCTTTTGTAAACCAGGAAATATGTACTATTATGTATGTAGTTTTTTTTCTTTCTCTGAAATGCATTTATTTCCATCCAAAAAGAAACAAAGTGCAAAACATTCCATCAACATTCTTATGTTCATCAGAAACTGTTACTGATTTTCCCAGGTGTATTTATTATTCCATGTCAGAGCTGGAAAGTAAAGAATTACATTTACTCACACTACTGTAATTGAGTAATTGAAAAGTAGTTTCAGGAATAGGTAATTTTACTTACTAAGCACATTTTAACCCAAAGAACCGGTTACTGAGTAAAACATAACAATGCAGCTGGAATATTTCACATTTCAACTAATTAAACAGAAGTCAACTGCACACATGAACAACCCAACAAATGGCAGATAGTGAAGAAATGTAATTTAAAACCATTTTAAACAAAAGGGCCCATACAAAATTAAAAATTTACATCATTTTATTTTTTTGTAAAGGAAAAAAAAACAAACACTTTTTTTTTTTTTCAAATTCCTTAGACTTAGGTTACTGAGGAAAGGTTAGGCAAAGGTAATCATGTTAAATTTCATATAGTTTATTCCAAAGTGTTAAATGCAAGTGTAACTGAAAAACTACAGTTGGCCATCACCTCCTTATTAGTTTCACCAAATCTCAGATTAAAGTGTGTACATTAACAGGAGTTTAAATTCAGCAGCCATTATCATCTCGACTAGAGGTCCACATCAGTCTCTTTACCTACTACCATTCAGCCCACAGAACTTAATACAATTTTTAAAAGAAATTTCAAACATTAAACTTAGTCTTTACCAGGTCTCCTGTCATCTCTTTATGCCAAGTATATTTTCTGTTAAAGAACCTTAACGAGCAATACAATGTATTTATAAATTTGTCACGTCAACCTTGCATGTATCTAGTGAAACGATTAATTAAGCAGAGGACAAAATTACAATATTCCTCAGCTGGGCGGCCTCCCAACACTGTCTAAATGCCACAGAAGGGCAGACATGTCTTTAGCAGGAAATGGACTTGGCAGGGAGAGACAAGGCAGAGCAAAAAGTCCAAAACGGTTTAATGACACTAAAGACAATTTAAGTCCAAATAGTGTCAGTTTGACAGAATCGGTGAGTTTATTATAAAAATATCTATGGGCTGAATGGTCGTTTTAACCAAGTAGTCTTAAAATCACAGTCAAATATTTAAATAAGTGTACAGTTGACTTCTAAAAATTACCCTGCGCAAACAATAGACCATTAAACAACATGCAATTAGATATGAACACAGACACAAAAGAGAAAATCCACATGTAGTCGAGCAGGGCTTGAGTCCATTCAAGCCCATCAGCTGTGGTGAGTCAGGGTCCTGGGGGGGGCGGCACGATCTAAACAAAGAGTTTAGTACAGACTTTAAGACACCCAGTAGGAAGGAGGCAGGTCTGGATTTCATTGGCTGAAGTCGTGACGTGCTCTGACCAGCATGTAGTCTCTCCACGTTCCATAATTTCAGGTCTGTTGGATCCAAGGTAAGAGTAAACAGCATAATGAATAATAAACTGCACTAGAGCTGTGAAGGACAAACCTGTCGTTTTTAATGCTGCTCTTCATAGAAGGTCTGGAGACATGGTGTGGCTGAGAAGATCTGGCTACCAAGGAGTTGGTCCATCTGGGCTACTACCACACAACAGTCCAGGAGGTTAGATTTCCAGAGCTGGTATGGACCCAACAACCAGCACCTGTGAACAGGAAATACAGAAGAGTCTTAGTCATTTAACTGACTCATCTTACCACACTCAGCCAATCAGGACAGACGAGGTGAAGCCTACACATCGTCACCACCTACAGTGATAGAACACTTTGAAACAAACAACCCAGATTAAACACCAGTGGATTCAATTAACATTAAGTGACTATTGCTATTACTGAAGTTTTCTGTTGAGGGATGAATAAAGTCAGATCGCATCATCTACCACGTGACCTGTCAATCACTCAGCATCAATTCAGACTATAGTTGAATGACAGTACGAGCAGACTGTGTCAAACAGTTACTACCCATGTCACTTTAGACCAGTGTAGGGGAAAATGGGGAAGGGGGTTGGCGACTAAACCTGCCCCAACTTTACTTTTGAAGAAAAAAAAAAAATCATACAAGTTCAGCTTTCTAAACATTCTACAAAACAACTATTCAAAACTATGAGCAAGGCAGTAACAGTAATGTCATTTTTTTTTATAATCAATAAAAATCAATAACATCAAATAATGCAATCGTCATGTCTTTGTTCCCCACTAGTGAGCGCCGCCACACACTTAGGAAAGAACTGCACTAAGGAAAGAGCACCAACATTTGACATGCGTACTTCAACCAAAGTTACGTAGAGTAGCCATTAGCATCAGTCTCTTTATCTTCTGCCATTCAGCCCACAGAATGTGTCAATAACATTTAAATTATCTTAAATATTAACTCCGCCTTTACCAAGTCTCCTGTTGTCTCTCTCTGCCAAGTTGATTTCCTGTTAAAGAACCTAAATGCACAATCTAACCTGTAAGCCTAACAGATTACACCAGTATATTTATACATTTGTCAACTTAGCCCTGCACGTATATCGAGTGAAATGATTAATTTTTCAGAGGACAAGTTTGACAGAATTGGTGAGTTTAAATTTTGACAAAGTCAATTTAACATTTAAAAAAACAAACAAAAAAAACAACAACACACGAGCTAAATGTTATTAAAAATCCAACAATTGCCAACTTCATAGCACCTAAAAACCAGAAAGTAAAAAAGTCAAGGCAAAAAGTAAAAGTCAAAGTTTTAATTACCTGTACAGTATACTTCTCTAAAATACCCAACATCCTCAAATTATACTGGACTGAAAATTAGTGGCCAGTGCATTTACAACTGAATTAACATCCTGACTGGGACTCAGTCCATCTGTTAGTGACCCCAGTGAAACATGTAGATAAAGATCACACAAAGAAAAAGAAAAATCCTTATGCAGGTGAGCAGGGATCAGGATGTAAACTTCATCAGCTGTGATGAGTCTGGGTCCTTGTGGGTCAGCACCTAAACAAGAATTTTTTTTCTCCAGGATCCAACTTCTCCACTCATGGTAAACACTGGTCCATAGAATCCTATAAACACACAGATCAGATCAGTCAGTGCACAGATTAAAGTGAACAGATTGAGCTAACAGTCAATGCGGAGAACAATCCTGAAGACATGCTGTGGCTGAGAAGATCTGGCCACCCAGGAGTCGGTCCACTTGGGCTACTGCCATCCTGAAGTCCAGGAGACCAGGATTTCCAGAGCTTGTTGGGCACCGACCCATGTGGGGCAAGAAATACAGACTGACTGATTTTACCACATTCAGTCAACCAGGACAGACCAGGTAGAAACCATCACCACCATTTTCTCTGATCATAGAACACTATCACACAGTTAACCAAGATTAAACACCAGTGAGTTACATTAACACTAGTGACTATCATCTACCAGGTGACCTGTCAATCACTCTGCACCAAACATCTAAAAGACCTCACAGGCAGATAAAGGTGATTACTTTAAAGGTCATGCAAACAATGAAGTACATAAGTGCATACAGACCAACAGCACAGACAGTAACTACATAAATAAACAAGTAGTCTTCATGTAAATTTACATATATTAGAGTACAAAGGCAGGTACATGTATATAATGACAGGAGTACAAAGGCAGGTAAATGTACATGTTTACATTGACAGGAGTACAAAGGCAAGTAAATTCACAAAGGTTTTGCTGTATGTAGCTGGAATTCAGACACCCCCTGGACAGCAACCGGACAGCTGGAAATAACAGCAACCGCAACCTCCAAAGTGGTGGAAAAGGACCGCAAAGGTGACATTGAAACGGTAGAGAAGGAACGCAAACGCCAAAACAGTGGCAAACGACCGCAACCGCAATGTCTAAAATGGTGGAAAAGAAACGCAACCGCAAGACCTAAAATGGCGGAAAAGGAACGCAAACGCAAGGTCCAAAATGGCGGAAAAGGACTGCAAACGGTATATTTTGGTATGTTGTATTTACATAAACTGCCAGTGAACTCTAAAGTGCCAAGGTTTAAAAAAAAAAAAAAAAAAACTACTACTTCATGGCTACACTGTGAATAAAGGACAGGAGACAGGAAGTCAGGGCAGCTAAGAGACACTGCTACAATGTCACTGGACCTATTTCTGGACATCAGCCTTTTGACATGGAAGTCAAAGCCAGGCATGCTCACATGCTCAAACTAAGCTAACCATCTTCAGGAGGTGAGAAACAACATCAGTCCAACCCTGGTTCAACATCTGGTCCCTTCCACACACACACACTAACACACAAACACACAGATTTGGAAAGTATATACCAGAGAAAAACTGTCATTTACATTATAGTATTTGGAAAGTATATACCAGAGAAAAACTTTGTCATTCACATTATAGTATACATATTTATATTATATATTTTAGACTGAACAGTGGCCATTATGTCTATTTAACATTTAACCAACAACTCGACCTTTTGGGGACGCAAGATTTTTATGAAAAGGCAACACAGACAGGACAGAAATAAAGATCAGCACAGCGGCTGGAAAACAACACTTAGTGCCACTAACCTTGTGTATAACATTTTTAATCGCGCAACTAGACACAATTTATCATTTCCTCCAGGAAAAGCTAAAAAAAATTGGCAAATTTCTTTTTGTTCTATGATATGCCACATTGTTCAGCCATATCTTAAAGATTAAATAAGATAAAGCTACATTTTAAAGGACTAACAGATAATATACAATTTTTAATAACTGTTACTGAGTCTAAATCAGGCATGGGCAAACTAAGATGCAAAAACTTTTCCAAATTAAATAATTTATTTACATCATCATTATAGTTCTGCCCTTTCCCTGCAATACCCACATTTCCCCAGTAGATGGCATAGAAAATGATAATAGCATTTTAGCTTTATAGCCTTTATGCATCACTTGACATGTCATTTATCTTAGTTTGCACAAACGCTCCATCTATCTGCTCCTGACACAGCCTCCCTGTTCCATTTTAGGGCAATTGTGGCCCGTGAGTCAAAAGGTTTGCCCATGCCTGGTCTAAACTCTAAGGACATAGAAAGGCGGAGGCCGACAGAATAGCCATCCGGAGAGGAAGGAAAAAACGTTTTGGACTCACCCTTTGTTGACAGCACCTTAAAATGAATAATTGTTATTGCACACATTGAGACAGACATATCAGTCACACTCAATGATTATGAACTGCTGAGCTAAAAAATTCCACTGCAGTTACACACACACTTCAAGTCCAAATATCCTGGAAACTACAAATACTGAACCACCACGGTCAGAAATCAGACCCAGAGCCAACAGTTAACCTAGCAGCTCAGCAGTTCCACATCCACACCATTAAAAAAAAGGGACCAGAATCACAACAACCTTGAGCAGAGGAGCCAGCCACCTGTAAGACGTCACCGACTAGCTAACACTAACCCTACTGTTCACGGCTCCTGCTCCAAAACCAATATTACACTGAAAAACAGAAAGGAAACAACCAAGAGAAAACACAGGTGGCCATTTGCTGTTTGTATCACTATGTTCCACACACTCAAACACACACACACCCAGCAGTGGCACGGCGGCCTTTATAATAAAAGAAAAATGTTCCTTACTGTGTTGAAGAACTTGATGTTGAGGATGATGTATCTGGAAAAAAAAAAGTCAAGTTCAAGTTAGAGACTTGTAATATTAAGTACTGACGTTTTGGTGTGAGCACACCATTTGTTAAATAATTACTTTCTTATTTAACAAAAAACCTGAGTTTAATGAAGTCCACTCACCTTGTCTTTTCGGTTCCGGAGTGTACTGTACTCGCTAGACAACGTCGACCTGGTCTTCGTGCGCAGAAACTCGTATCTGTTTCATTTCAAACATTGTCGAGTATAAGTTTAATACGCAGTAAACAGTATGTTTGAAATTTACTGGTGTACCCCAAACACTAAAATAGTAAAATACAATTCAACGAGTAAACACATTCGCCAAACATATGCAGACACGTTGGTCGGCCATTTTTAAATTAATTAATTATTCTGCAACGCAGGAAAATAAATGTCTCCCGAGTGAAGTCTAAGGTGTTTAGCTAACGTGAATATACTAAGTCAAAACGGTAACACTGAGAAATAAAAAAAATTAAATCCAAAAGATATTTACCTTTCTGTTTGGGCTGTTCATCCGGACCAGGTCGAGTCGCAATTAACAAGCAATGCGGTGCACCTGTGAACTTCAAAACCGCGCGGCGGAGTTTTCCGGCGTCTGACGTAACACGTCACTTCTCTGCCTTACGTCACTACGCCGGCTCTAACGAGCCGTGGGGCCGCCATCTTGGTCCGGTCACCCGCTACACTCAGCGTAATGTATTTGGCAGTCGCAGATGCTTGCTTTTAGATGCAAACGTCATAGATGACGTTTAAATAATTAAATATAATTAAAATAATTTTCTAAAATTAGTTACTTTTTACCAGAATGTAAAAACAGTTCAGGATGTACTGCAAGGAAGCCAAAAATACAAAAGCCTGGAATTCTGAGCTATTCCTGCATTACTTTTTCTATATTATTATTATTATTAGTTATTATTATTAGTTGCGTTGGGTGATATCACACTGCTTTTTCCCTGGAATATTTGATTTTATATTTATATATTTGTCTTTTCCTGGTCTTGCTGGGTGGACAAAAGCTGTTCTAGATAATTGTTACAATCCGACGTAACTTACCTAAAGTTTGTCTGTACTCCTTTTGATCTTAGCAAAAGACAAAGACAATAAAAAACTCATAGAAAATGTCAAACAAACACGTTACACATGTTCATTGTTTAATTTTTTTTAAAATTAATGATGGCAAAATGAGTAATTACACAAAAACATGTATGATCTGTACAAAAAATTTACATGCAAAGGTAAAAAAAAAAAAAAACTATGTACTTTTTGAAATGACAAAAAACAAACAAACAAAAAAAAAAACTGGTGAATAAAAAGAAGAAAATAAAAAAACACTTAAACTGAGGTATCCAGTCCAAGTTTCTGTTTGGAATTGTCTGTGCACACCTTTAAAATAAATACAAAGGGAACAGAGGACTGTGACTTCTGTTCCACCCAGAATCCACTCGACCTCTAAACATCCCCAGCCACACACTGCAATAAATTATAGTCTGGAGGCCGTACCAAGGCTTTGTTTCTTTTCATTGGAAGCAAGTTGGGTGGAATTGACATTAAGGAATTTGTCGGGAAAAACGTTTTTGGCAACAAGTGTTAATAAGCTGACGCAATGTCGCAACGTCACCGAGCTGTCACTCCATCTCTGAGGTACGAGTGTTGGTCTTTACTTTCGTACCGTTCACTGAGGGGCGGCTAACGTCTAACTGCCGTAAACAATCGTGCCGTGTGATCCTAGAAAAAGTCTGGCATTATTTTCGATTGGTCTGTAATGATCGTGAGGCGTGACCTCTGACCTGATCTGGTCGGGAAGTGGTGACGATCAGGTCGAATAAACACAAACTACCAGCAGTGCTTGCAGTACCAAGTACATGCTATCATCTAGATTTATTACACATACGACAGATGTCTTTATAAATAATTGCATAAAATGTTAAAGCCACAACATTGCACATGAAAATCAAACATAAAATACAATGAGTGCATTTACAGTCGTTTGTTTTACCCCCCCTTCTCCCCCTCGCCTGCACATTCACTACCCCCCCTCGCGCGCTTCACGCGGGGCGTGGGGCCGCCATCTTGGTCCGGTCACCCGCTACACTCAGCGTAATGTATTTGGCAGTCGCAGATGCTTGCTTTTAGATGCAAACGTCATAGATGACGTTTAAATAATTAAATATAATTAAAATAATTTTCTAAAATTAGTTACTTTTTACCAGAATGTAAAAACAGTTCAGGATGTACTGCAAGGAAGCCAAAAATACAAAAGCCTGGAATTCTGAGCTATTCCTGCATTACTTTTTCTATATTATTATTATTATTAGTTATTATTATTAGTTGCGTTGGGTGATATCACACTGCTAGTTCCCTGGAATATTTGATTTTATATTTATATATTTGTCTTTTCCTGGTCTTGCTGGGTGGACAAAAGCTGTTCTAGATAATTGTTACAATCCGACGTAACTTACCTAAAGTTTGTCTGTACTCCTTTTGATCTTAGCAAAAGACAAAGACAATAAAAAACTCATAGAAAATGTCAAACAAACACGTTACACATGTTCATTGTTTAATTTTTTTTAAAATTAATGATGGCAAAATGAGTAATTACACAAAAACATGTATGATCTGTACAAAAAATTTACATGCAAAGGTAAAAAAAAAAAAACTATGTACTTTTTGAAATGACAAAAAACAAACAAAAAAAAAACTGGTGAAGAAAAAGAAGAAAATAAAAAAACACTTAAACTGAGGTATCCAGTCCAAGTTTCTGTTTGGAATTGTCTGTGCACACCTTTAAAATAAATACAAAGGGAACAGAGGACTGTGACTTCTGTTCCACCCAGAATCCACTCGACCTCTAAACATCCCCAGCCACACACTGCAATAAATTATAGTCTGGAGGCCGTACCAAGGCTTTGTTTCTTTTCATTGGAAGCAAGTTGGGTGGAATTGACATTAAGGAATTTGTCGGGAAAAACGTTTTTGGCAACAAGTGTTAATAAGCTGACGCAATGTCGCAACGTCACCGAGCTGTCACTCCATCTCTGAGGTACGAGTGTTGGTCTTTACTTTCGTACCGTTCACTGAGGGGCGGCTAACGTCTAACTGCCGTAAACAATCGTGCCGTGTGATCCTAGAAAAAGTCTGGCATTATTTTCGATTGGTCTGTAATGATCGTGAGGCGTGACCTCTGACCTGATCTGGTCGGGAAGTGGTGACGATCAGGTCGAATAAACACAAACTACCAGCAGTGCTTGCAGTACCAAGTACATGCTATCATCTAGATTTATTACACATACGACAGATGTCTTTATAAATAATTGCATAAAATGTTAAAGCCACAACATTGCACATGAAAATCAAACATAAAATACAATGAGTGCATTTACAGTCGTTTGTTTTACCCCCCCTTCTCCCCCTCGCCTGCACATTCACTACCATCTGATTGGCAACGACAGTCTCGCGCTGCGGACGCGAGGAGATAAGAAGGCAGGCATTTATTTACAAAGTAAGGCTTAAACATCCTATACCTGTGCAACACAAGTTTGTTCGAGGAAAACCTAACAGCGCAGTTTCCCGGTCGGGTCGGACGGGGCCGCTTCGTTCCTCACCGCGTGGTTGTTGTAAGGTTCCTAGATCAGGTGCATTATATAAGCGAAGCCATTAAAAAACTCTTGTACGCTCGCACATAAAAATGTCTCTAAAGTCAAAAAAGCCCGTCACTGTCTAAAGGATCCAGAATAGCACAGCAACGGATGAAAAGATTTTTTTTTTTTTTTTACAATTCTTTTGATTTGTTTGGAAAAGTAGACGGCACTTTCCCCTTTCTGTACATATTTCGTTTTTGTTTTTTTAAAAAGAGAACAGGCTGCGTCCCAAATGTCCGAGTAGGAAGAAGAGCGACGGGGGAGAGCCGTTTTCACTTTCGGCTGAAAGCTCTGCAGCAGTGCAGCGCTGTCAAAACAATTCAAAATAAATTACTTTATAAATCTTTTTTTTTCTTTTCCGTTATTATAGTGTACATAACTACAAAATCTATCTTCGAGTTGAATTCAGCAAGCAGCAGTAGACAAAAGCATCCATGACTGAGTCTGTTCTGGTGGGACTGTGGTCGGCGTCAGACCTCAGGGTCTGCGTGTAATTTAAAAACTAAACTTTGACTTTGGAAAAAACTATCGCTCTGTGAAAGAGGACAAGATCAGTATTGAACATTTCTCCTTCGTTGACATCCACGCAATCCAGATGCCTGATCCCAGATTATTCTGCATCCACCTTGAGCGACTGTCGTCTTCGAGGACTGAGGGAACAACAGGTTGGTTCGAGGTCTCACACTCGCGCTTGGAGACGACTTTGAATGAAGCTCCTGATTCCTCCGATGGGCCGGGCGTCCGTCTGGTGTTTTCTTCTGTCTATGAAGGTGATGAGGCGAGAGGTGTCCAGACAGCACTCCGCCTGAGACGGACTGTCATTCACACCGGCCTGCAGCCACGACTCTTGCAGACACAGTCCGGCGGGAGGCCTTCGGCCGGGCTCGGTCCTCAGGAGGAGGCAGATGAAATCCCGGGCTGCCTGGCTGACGCCGTGGAAGTAGTCGCCGGGGAAGCTGAAGTCCAGCCGGCAGATGTTCAGGCAGGTCTCCTCGGCGCTCTCGTCCAGGAAGGGAGATGCTCCGCTCAGTAGCACGTACGTCACCACGCCCAGGCTCCACAGGTCAGAGGTCAGCGACACCGGCTCCCCGAGGACCAGCTCTGGAGAGGCGAACTCAGGACTGCCCAACAGAGGGTGGATGGGGTGGGCACCGGTTCGGAGAAGAAGTCCGTGAGCTTGACCACTGGCTGGCCGCTGGAGCTGTGGGCCACGAGTAGGTTCTCGGGCTAAAAACGAAAACAGAAAATGACAAAATCTGAATTAACATTAATTATTATTATTAATTTATTTATTAAGTATATAAAAGCACACTACCTTCAAAACCTGGAGCTACGACCTTTAAGGAAATACACAAGGCACCCAAACCTGATTGAAGTAACATCCTACGACGCAGTACTCACTTTTACATCCAGATGTGCTATCCTGCTGTTGTGAAGGTAATGCAATGCTTCCAAAACATCACGTAGGTAGCGGGCTACTTTCTCCTCCGTCAGATTCCCCCAGCTCACTATGTAGTCCAGCAGCCGACCTTGGTCTGCCCTGAAACACGAATGGGAGCAAAATGGGTGAAAACCAAAAACAGGCTCCAAATCAGACACATTCAAAGTCACAGTGTACCACAGATTTGAATATTCCCCGCCCCCCTCTTTCTGTAACCGTACTTACATTTCCAGGACCAGGACGTAGCTGCTCGAGGTTTCGTACGTGTCTATGAGTCGGACTATGTGGGGGTGCTGCAGCCTCTGGAGCAGATTCAGTTCCTGAGTCACCCAGTCTCTCCGCATCAGCTTCTTGTTCACCTGTTTGACCGCGACGGTGCGTTTAGTTCCCCGGTGATCGCAACGCTTGACGACAGAGAAGCGCCCCCTGGTGGGTATACGAACAAGAAGGACACGGGAGGGTTACGTTGTATTCCTCACTCAGCCTCTGAGAATGTGGACTGGGTGAGGGTTGACGGCGTTACCTTCCCAGTTCGACCACTTCGGTGTAGTGAGACTCAAAGTTGTCTTTCCAGCTCACTCTGATCCCATCACTGGACAAAGCTGAGAGAAACAACACACCACAGTCAGGCTCTGCCGAACACCAGTGACGTCGGACCTTTTCGTAGATCTGTCCGCTCTTACCCAACACTCTGAGGCTGGCCGAGGATGTTACACTGCCCAGGTCGTTGGTGGCGACGCAAGTGTAGACGCCGTCGTCGTCGGCAGCTACGCCGATGATCCGCAGTGTTGCTTCACCGGTGTCACTGAAAAGGAAAAAAAAACGTTGCTAATGAACACAAATTCTTCCCTTGTTTAATTCAATTTGAGTTGCCGTAGAGAATTTTTTTTGAGACTTTTGTTTAATATCAGGTAAAAAATATTTTACCTGTAGGCCATGCTGTAATGTCCATTGTTGGTGAGGAGGGTGGAGTGGGTGGGCACGGTTTAGCTGAGCCGCGTCGCCGAAGTCCGTGAGCTTGACCACTGGCTGGCCGCTGGAGCTGTGGGCCACGAGTAGGTTCTCGGGCTAAAAAACAAAAACAGAAAATGACAAAATCTGAATTAATATTAATTATTATTATTATTATTAATTTATTTATTAACTATATAAAAGTACACTACCTTCAAAATCTGCAGCTACGACCTTTAAGGAAATAAACAAGGCACCCAAACCTGATTGAAGTAACATCCTACGACGCAGTACTCACTTTTACATCCAGATGTGCTATCCTGCTGTTGTGAAGGTAATGCAATGCTTCCAAAACATCACGTAGGTAGCGGGCTACTTTCTCCTCCGTCAGATTCCCCCAGCTCACTATGTAGTCCAGCAGCCGACCTTGGTCTGCCCTGAAACACGAATGGGAGCAAAATGGGTGAAAACCAAAAACAGGCTCCAAATCAGACACATTCAAAGTCACAGTGTACCACAGATTTGAATATTTTTTTCCCCCCCTTTCTGTAACCGTACTTACATTTCCAGGACCAGGACGTAGCTGCTCGAGGTTTCGTACGTGTCTATGAGTCGGACTATGTGGGGGTGCTGCAGCCTCTGGAGCAGATTCAGTTCCTGAGTCACCCAGTCTCTCCGCATCAGCTTCTTGTTCACCTGTTTGACCGCGACGGTGCGTTTAGTTCCCCGGTGATCGCAACGCTTGACGACAGAGAAGCGCCCCCTGGTGGGTATACGAACAAGAAGGACACGGGAGGGTTACGTTGTATTCCTCACTCAGCCTCTGAGAATGTGGACTGGGTGAGGGTTGACGGCGTTACCTTCCCAGTTCGACCACTTCGGTGTAGTGAGACTCAAAGTTGTCTTTCCAGCTCACTCTGATCCCATCACTGGACAAAGCTGAGAGAAACAACACACCACAGTCAGGCTCTGCCGAACACCAGTGACGTCGGACCTTTTCGTAGATCTGTCCGCTCTTACCCAACACTCTGAGGCTGGCTGAGGATGTTACACTGCCCAGGTCGTTGGTGGCGACGCAAGTGTAGACGCCGTCGTCGTCGGCAGCTACGCCGATGATCCGCAGTGTTGCTTCACCGGTGTCACTGAAAAGGAAAAAAAAACATTGCTAATGAACACAAATTCTTCTCTTGAGTTGTCGTAGAGAAAAAAATGTTTTTTTTTGCAACTTTTATTTAATATCTGCAAATCAGTGATATAGAGATTATATATTCAATTTGAGTTGCCGTAGAGAATTTTTTTTGAGACTTTTGTTTAATATCAGGTAAAAAATATTTTACCTGTAGGCCATGCTGTAATGTCCATTGTTGGTGAGGTTGCTCTGGTCAGGTCCTTTCCACGTAACGGCAGCCCGGGGTCGACCGCAGACCTTACACCTAAGGACGGCGCTCTCTCCGGTGTCACACGTTACATCGCTCAAAGGTACGAGAAACTCCGGGGCAACTGGAGAAATAAAAAAAAAATTTTTAAAAATCATCACTAACTGTTAAAGATGTGAACAGTTTCGGACTGATTCTTTCTTGGTACGTACCATCGTAGATGTAGTTTGGATTGAGAAGCTGAAACAGAGCGATCGAAAGCATGAGTGACGGTTGCAGTGTGAAGTGGTATAAAATACTTTGTCGTCCACATTTGTCCAGACCCTCACCTTTACTGAGACTTTGTTGGCCAGTCCGTCTCTGGACTTCCTGTAACCGTTTTCGAGCTTGGTGTCCTTCTTTGCCTCCTTGTCCTTCCTCTCAGACTTTTTTCGGATGCGCAGGGATGTGTGCCAGGACGAAGACTTCCTGCAGAGATTCAAAATGAAAATAAAAGGCTGTAAATAAACACGAGGACAATGTGACCGAGTCTTCACTGGTAGAGATGGGAATCAATTCTGATTCGTTATCCATTCTCACTGTATTAGAAAATAAATTATCGATCAAATCCACTAGAAATCGTTGACCCTTAATGATAGCAATTAAACTATTTAGGTTACACTGTGTAAAAATAAAGAATTTGTTGGGACTAAAAATACATATTAAAGTTGTTAAGAAATATATTTAGGTTACACTGTGTAAAAATAAAAAAATTGTTGGGACTAAAAATGCATAATAAAGTTGTTAAATTTTTTTTTCACGTTTGTCAAAATCACACGGTCTCAATATGGGTAAAAATAATTGCCAAAAAAGAAAACAGGTTCACATCCAATCAAAAATTCCGTATTGTCTGTAAAAGCAATTCCCAGGAATCGGACCATCAACTCTCAGTTCTCAACTGCCATCCCTTTCCCATCAATGTCAAACTTATTTAAAGATAAATAATAACCACTGTTTACGGATCATAATGCCTATAAGACCATATTGTGTTTGAACAAACAAACATGAAGCTCTTACTTGTTCGATCCCTCTGGACAATCGGGGACCATGGCTGAGGTGTGGCCCAGTACAAATCCGGGGATCCAGCCCTCGGCGGCGGGGCCCTGCTCGGTCGCTGCTCTGAACACTAAGAACATGTTTTGCTGGTTGCTCGCCAAGATCTGGACCACCTCGCCCTGAATAACACTGATCTCGTCCTCCTTCACAGCCATGTAGTCCTGGGTCACCAACATGGTGGATACGCTACTGCTGCTGCTACTTTCACTCTGCATCACACAACAGACACATCGCAAGAATAAAGACATCGTTAATCTCCAGGGAGGTACAGTGCGTGTAGCGTGTCTTTATCGAAATCAAGGTGAGAAAAGAAGCAACAGTGAAAGGAAAAAAAAAAAAAAAGCGGAAAAAGAGAGACAAGTGATTCAACATTTTCTTCTTACGAGGAGGTGTTAACGAAGAGGGTGACAAGACGATGATTTCCACTGTACTCATCTTTGCCCTGAGTCTTCGGGCAAAGAACGGACACTGTTAGCTTTTATGAGAGGACCTCGTTCGGGTACGTTTGCGGCGGAACCGCAAACGTCACGGTGGAGGTTAGTTGCAGGAAAAAGGGGGGAGGCGGCCAGAAGGAAGTCAGGATGTTAGTATAAGCTTTGAGAGAAGTGGAAGATTTAGGAACAGCCTCGAAAAGAAACCACCGTTAGAGCCGCACAAGTAAGAGGTCTGAAAACACTGCGGACAATCTTGGCTAGCCCCCCCCCCCCGGGTGACGTTGGAAAAACAGCGGAAGGTCGGAGGGGAAAGATTAGTAGCGCTGTCTGTAGCAGGAGACAGAAGACAGCAGGCAGAGAAGACACATCTGGCCTCCCTCTGCCTCAGGTTAGTCGCAGTAGCGGTGGCGCACCGGGAGGAGCTCTTACCCCGTTACTCTGGGTGGACTGGATGGATTGCTCACTGGCGGAGGAGCACGTACTCATGCGGTCGGCGTCCTTGCTGTGTGTCGAGTGCCTGTGACTTTGGCTCCCAGATCCAGAGCCAGTCTGGATCTGGTTCGAGTTCTGGCGACCCGGACTCTCTGCCGCATCTCCGGGGAAAGTGAACGAGCCAGGCCGGCTGGCGGGAGAACCCGGCATAGAGCTCCAGAATCCTGATCCGGACTTGTGACCAGGGCTGGGAGGAGGAGGTGGGAGCACGTCTTTGCTAAAGTTAGCAGGTGGCAGAGGGGTGGCTACGGGAGTCACAGCTCCAGGCCGTGGCTTGGACGTAGGTGTCGTGGGCAGGGGCCCGACGGTGGCACGGAGAATGGGGTATACGCTGTTGGCGGGAGCGGGGGTCTGTGGTTGGTCCTCTGAGTTATGGCTGGGGCGTTTGCCCTGTGGGCTGCCCCCTGGAGGGAGGGAGGAAGGTGGGACAGCACGAGGGGAAGAACCTGGACCACAGGCGAACAAAACTCACACTTCAGACACATTTTTGATTTTTGCTTTACAAAGAAACGTCTTCATCGACTCTGCGGTTTCCCAGGTCACTTAATTGGTTCCAAAACTATTATTTATTAATTGCAAATAATTTTTATCTGTTCGTCAATGCGTGACAGACAGCGGAATTCAATCCTCTTCTACTAGGTGGCAGCAGACAGTTTTCAAAAACTATGAAATATATATGTGCCGTGGCTCAAAAAAAGGTTGGGAAACACTGGAAGAGGAAGAAGATTACGGCTGTTGGCAGAATTAGCTTTAGCTTAGCTGAGCCTTATTAATATTTACATTTTGTGATCAACAAACATCAACATTTCTGGAGGTGTACAGCCTTAAAAAACAACAGTAGTTCTGCGCTATACTGCCAGGACGGCAATTTCTTACTATTACTGATCTGCAAACTAAATGCTAGTTAGCTAATGCTAGTTGTTTTAGTTGATGATGCAGGTCCAATTCGCCCTGAACTCATATCAACTTCACATCTTTACCAAAACTACACATCCAGTAGACACTGACAACAACTTGGGTTTACACAACTATCAACTGAAACATAAGGATTTTTTTTTTTTTTTACCTGACATCTTGCTGGGGCCGTCTAAGTCGGCTCCAGGGTGGTGGCGTAGGGGTTGGGGCAAACGGGAGGGCTGGGGAATCCTGGAGGGCCGTCGGGAACCCCCCTGTGGTCCTGAGGAAATGGAACTACTCTGGGAGCTTGCCACTCCAGGTGTCTCGGAAGGCCCACTGCTTCCTGCACCCGGGGGTCCAATGGTGGCCCCCACATGGTTCCTCTGATACTCTGTTGGTGAGGCAGAAATTTGGGATTTTTTTTTTTTGTGACTCGTGTCTCGTCTGTATGTGTGTGTTTGTTTGTTTGTCAATATACCATTGAGGAAGTTGCGTTGGCTTTCAAGTATTTGGCTGATCCGAAGGGTCCAGACCTCACACACTCCCGGATGAGTGGAGTGAAGGACGAAGGACTCCACCGTGCCGTTGGTCAACCGCGAAGTGACAGTGAACTTGCACGGGTCGTTTTCCACGTTCTCCTCCAGACCCAAACAGCTCACCTGCGTAGTTGCAAAGACATACTTGCTGTTACTGACGTTCACATGCACACGCATACATAAACTGAACATTAAACATCTTATGATTTAATATGCTCTAAAGCAGGGGTTCCCAACCTCTGGTCTGTGGACCAGTACCGGCCCAAAAGTAATTTGTGTTGGGCCAAAGAATATTATTATTTATATTTATTTTATTCATTTAAAGATAATCTGGTAATTCTTAGAATTAATATATCTTTCATACTCCAATGCTAAAAGAATAAACAATTCATAGGCGAAGGCTAGTGTAAGCTAATGCTAACTGTCGACGCAGGCGTTACTGTAAATGACAGGATTGTCACCTTGATGCTGTTTTTGTAGAGGAAGCCTGGCAAAGGGAATCCCTTCTTCTTGTCAACGGGCTCGCTGAAGATGATGAGCTGCTCGAAAAAGAACACCCTCCTCTCCTTTAACCGACCAATCAGGCTCCCCTCTGGGTCAGACACCATGAACGTGTCCTGCAGAAGGAGGCGGCCCTGAGCCACGATCTTTCCCTGGAACAGAACACGGCAAAGATTGTTTAGAAGCCGAGTCGTGACAGTTTATGAACGTCATTACCACATCGTAAAATGATCTTACATCGAATCCCTGAAGGCGACCGACGTTCAGCATGTCGTTGCACCTTTTTGGCACGATGCACATGACTTCCACCGCTTTCTGTTTGGGCGCAGACACCAAAGGGTTAACAGGTTTTTTCGGAAGACGGTTTACGTTAATGGTTGTCAAGAAATACGGACGACTTTTCAAACCTCTAAATCCACGGGCTCCAGTCCGGCCTTTTTCGAGTGTTTCAGGAAGTCCTTCAATAATTAAAGGGAAATGTAAGCAAATATTTGACTCGACTAAGAGAGCACATAGCATAGAGGAAGTTAGCAATAGTTAGCATGTAGTAGCAGGCTAACCTTGAGCAGCAGCTGGTACTTCATGATCCTCATGACCGGTTTGTTCAGCAGCTCGGTGATCTGCAGCCTGTGTCCTAATCTCTGCTTCAGCTCCTACACAACCAGAAATGTTTTTTTAAATTTTTTTTTTTAAAGATTTCCAGTTTTGCTTTCTTCTCCAGAAGACAAAAAATAACGGGATCTTACCTGAAAATAGTTGTCAATGTACTCCATGACTATGTGCTCCGATTTGGGCTTGTTTTGACAGTACACCACGTACATGTTAAGCCTTCGCTCCTGGAAATACAGAGCACGTACAGTTAGAGTTACGGCACGATCTAACACGCGTCAGCCAATCAGACGACGGAAACGTATCGTGACGCGGACCTGTTTTACGAAGAGTGGCCCCAGTCTGTCAGGATCCTCCAGACATTTCTCCAACTCCCCAAGGAAAAAACTAAGTATATTTTAAAAAAGGAATAAAAACAGGTTAGGAGCGACTGTTGAAGTAAAAAAAAAAAACTAAAAAAAAAAAAAAACGATGTTCTTTACGTACTCTTTGTGCCAGTCGTAGATCTGATGGACGTTGCCAAACACAATTTTATCTTTCCCTTTCATGTCATCTGGAACGACCTCCTCCTTCATTCGCCTCATGTAGCCCTGATGGAAGGAAGGGGCAGAAATGGTTTAAAGACTTGCTGTAGCATTTACAGAGTTGTCAACAACAACAACAAAAAAACATGACCTTTGATGACCTCACCTCAACTACCAGGCTCAAGTCTCGGACATAATCTCTCTCTGTTTGCACCAAATCCAGAAGAACATAACTACAAAAAAAAAACATATGGTAAATTCGTTGGAAAAAGCATCGGTGTAGTTGCGTGTTTTAAGGAGACGTACTGTCTTTTCTTGAGGATGTTGGTCCGTTGCTCATCCAGCTCTTCCATGGGAGAGGAGGACGAGAGGAGGGAGTTGTCCGAAGGGTTAAAGGAGGGAGAACTGCTGTCGGCCTGTTCCACCGACAGAGAGCTCGGTCTGTCCTCCAGCGCCTGCATGACACAAACCAGCTCCGTTATTTAAGAACGAGATTCAATAAAAAGATGTTTTTTTTTTTAAAAAAAAACTGATTTTCCTACCATTTTGCTTTTGACCAGCTCCTCGATTGCGCTGACCAGCTCGGCAGCACTGGGAGTCTCCGAACTGGACAGACGCACCGACAGAAGAGAGGAAGTCTAAGAATAGAGAAATTGAAGAATTAGTAAAAAAAAAAATAAAAATTTGACCTCAAAGTTCACCATCATCTCCAAATTTCTGGCCGGTGTCAACACAAACTTTTAAACGGATCGGAATAGAGTTTCAAATTAGCCATGAAAGTATTTTAAGTTGATATGTTAGCCCAAAATTGCTAACGTAGCATACTTACTGCATATAATACTGACGAGTCATGCTTACGTTCTTTGTTAGTTTTGTCAGTAACTTGTTTAGTTATAAGAATATTTATATGCATTTACTGATATTTATGAGTAATGACTATGATTGAATTAAGACATTACTGTTAACATCCAGTAAAAAAAAATGTTAAGAACACACAAAAAATAAATATAATATAAATATAAATTATATATCAAAAAAAATAATAAGTGGAGTGAAGAAGAGGAGAAGTAGAGATGGAAGATGTCTCCGTAGTTTCCTAGGAGGTGAACAACCTTCTAAATCAAAGACAGCAAGAGAACAGTGCAAAACGTATATGTTCAATATTTGCTGGGTGCGTGTGTGTTTAGATGTGTGCGTATACACAGAGTTGAGGAGACTCTCACCCTTGCTGTGCTGTGCTTCAAGACTTTCTTCAATTTGGGTTTTCTGTGTGGAGGCTGTGTGCCCTTCTGGCCTCGCCAGCGTTTAGTGATTTCTAATTACTTGCATGGGTAATGAGGTAGGTCAACGCACAGAGAGTAAACGGGGGGAGGGCGGACGGGAGAGGGGGAGGGATGAGGACAAGTGCGGGCGGGCGGGTGAGGTGGGCGGGTAGCGCTGTGGACAGGGGATGAAGGGGAACAGGAGGGCTCTGGAATTGTCACCTCAGACCGCGTCTGTTTTCGCAGATCAAAACCTCACCTACCGTCCAATCACAATCTGAGGGGCCGGTATTTCATCTAACCTGATGTTATTTAATTCAACTACTATTCAAATTAGTTTGTGACACAGACAGTAACTTTCACATTTTCTCTCTCTCTTCATCTACCGTGGCTGCATTCAAAATGCCCGGAGGTCAAAATCAGAAATAAATCAAAATAAGAGATGACAGGGAGGAAGTTCGCTAAGGGAACGTAAAAAAAAAAAAACAACGTAATTTAAATTTGAAAAAAAGGTCAAAAATGAGACTTTTTCTTGTAAAGAAAAAGCCCATTTATAATAATATAAATTACATTTTACAAAAAAAAGGGACTAAAAGTCGATGTCGATCTTCAACGGTTTCGCTTTTAAAAAAAAAAAAAAAGAAGAAGAAAAAGAGTCGCAGCGCGCAAAGGACGACGCTGCAGTTGGCGGCGCTTAAAGCTGAAGAGCATGGGTTTTAAAAGAGAGAACTGAAGAGTGGACTGAGGGGAGAGAGACAGAGGGGACACGGTTCAGATGGACAGGTATGGAAACTGAGACAAAGCAAAGACGGGACATAAATCAAGGTAATGCTACAGCATGGCGAACAGCAAACGATACAACCAGGAAACAAAACAAAAGAGAATCAGAAATTAGTGTCAGAGAAGGCCCCCCCCCGGGGGACGTGGACTATCAGACAGACTGCTTTACAATCCTTTCTGTCTTCAAAGATAGTGCGAGGAGACAGGTGAAAGTAAAAGAAAATATATACACGACAGAAAGTAAGGAGTCACTTAAAAAAGTGTAAGGAGTATAGACATAACACTACCATATAAGGATATATCCAGATATATTCAAATTCTTCACAATCCGAAAAGAAAAAAAAATTAGACCATGCTCATTTGTCTTGCTGAGATAAATAAATAATGTTCCATGCTTGTACGATAAATAATGCACTATTACAAATACAGGCCTATGAGCGAGTGGTAACGGGTTTGGAGCTAGGGGGCGCTGCAGGTTCAAATCTCGCCCTGACTGTGACCATCAATAATACATGGCTATGGATGATTTATTATTACTGTTATTCCTGTTTGTTGTCAATCCAGACTTCTGGACAATATATATTGAGAAATATAAGTAGTATTACTTATATTACTAGATGTAGGAATCTCTCAGTTTTCCAGAAATAAAATAAATAGCAAAGGTAAAAAGAGTTGGACAACAATTGTTCGTAAATAAAAAAAAAAGCATGAAAGTAGTTGAAAGTCTTAATAATTGTCTTTAAATAAATGCCACGAGTCGTGTTTTCCACTCATCTGCCTGCGTGCGTTTCCTGAGCTAATGGCTAAACAGCGTTTCAAATTCTTCACAATCCGAAAAAAAAAAAAAAATTAGACCATGCTCATTTGTCTTGCTGAGATAAATAAATAATGTTCCATGCTTGAGTCTCTGCTCATTTCCATTGGTCGATTTGGCCTAGCTGGTTTACAGCCCCCAAATTTTTCTATTTTCTACTTTTAATCTGCTGCGGTGTGTATTTGAAGCTCTTCTGAGTCATTCCCTCTCTCTGACCCTGTACCTGTAGGAGTGCTTACTAAATACAGATACTGATATTTAAAATATTCAGAATGAATAGACTAAAGACGACTAAAGTTGTAAGGAAAAAATAATCCTGGGTCTTGGTCTATGCTTAACTTCCCACCTTGTCGTCCTGTGAGTCTGGCTGCAGCAGGCTGTGCTGTTGGATGGCCATCGGAGGCGGTAGCGGTACCGAGTCAGCGCCCTCCTCGCCCTCCTCCTCCCCGCAGCTCTGCATGCCCGAAGAACTAGATTTGGACAGGGTGCCGCTGGACAGACCCTCGTTTCGAACTCTCTGCGACACAGAGGCAAACAAAACCAATGAAGACCTCCGACACGACGCGGCGTAAGCACTTCGTCCGAGCCCGGCGCCATCGCGGGGGGCGAGACCACCGACCTCCTCCACCGTCTCATCTTGAGGCGTGGCAGCACTGTCATCA